GCGAGCCATCCCCCCCGCCCACACATTTTATTTCTTACCCCACAAGGTCCATGCCCCACACTGCCCCTGTTCCCCCCACCCAGAGTGCCAGCCCCAACTCTCTTCCTGCAGCAGGGAGTTCCGCAGAGTGATGCCTCCTCACTGTGCCACCCCTTGCCCCTGGCTCCCCCTTGTGGCCGAGACTCACTGAACATCCTCCTCACCACTTTGTTGACCGACTTCTCCCAGGCGATGGACTTCTCCAGCTGGTAGAGGCAGAGGGCGACCTGGTCCCCCCACCCAGAGTGCCAGCCCCAACTCTCTTCCTGCAGCAGGGAGTTCCGCAGAGTGATGCCTCCTCACTGTGCCACCCCTTGCCCCTGGCTCCCCCTTGTGGCCGAGACTCACTGAACATCCTCCTCACCACTTTGTTGACCGACTTCTCCCAGGCGATGGACTTCTCCAGCTGGTAGAGGCAGAGGGCGACCTGGGCCGCACTCCGACACCGCTCCAGGGTCTGGCGCCACGTCCGCATCCGGGAAGTGATCTCGTAGGTGCTGTGCGGGGAAGGAGGTGGAACGGACCCTCAGCCTGGTGCATGGAGGAAGCCCTGACAGGTACCTGGTCGCCCGGGGAGGCTGGGGGCTTACTGACCAGGTTTTCCAGAAAGGGAAACTGAGGCACGGAACAAGAGGGACTGGCCTAAACCACCATGCAAGGCAATGCCATGGCTAGAAAGAGAACCCAGGAGTCCTAGTGCAAGACACTACTCAGGCCAGCCCTGAGTTCGGCCCCGCTGGCCCCTCTGCACGCCGGGGGGCTGGGCACTTACATCTCCGTGTTGCTCAGCACGGCCTTCTCCAGCACCACCTCGTGCAGGGGCCACAGCGGCTCCTTCAGGTACCGGCGCTCCACGTTCTGCTCCAGCGCGGCCAGCCGCAGGACGGCCAGGTCCAAGGGGTTGGTGGCCTCCCGGCACGGGGGCAGCCCCTCCCGCCGGTTCTTGAGGGTGAAGTCCTCCAGGGCCCCCACCTTGTGCTCGCAGTACCGCAGGTCATTCCGCGCCGAGTCCGGGTCCGGACACGTCCAGCCCTGGGGAAGAGGAGGCTGAGATTGGGCTGGGAATGCCAAGGGAGGGGGGGAGGGGAAGGAGGTGCAGCCTCCGCGGACCCCAGGCGGCTTTCCCGACTGCCCAGTGCCAGCTCACAGCCCTGGGCGGGGACCCAGGAGTCCGGACAGAGCCGGGCCCGGCTCTAGCGCAGTCGCCCAGTCGTGCCAGGGACCCCTGCAACCAAGAGTCGTCGTCCATCTCGCAGCAGGCCCCAAAGCAACCCCCAGCCGGCCAGGGGCTCGGGTCCTTACCCGGATCTGCAGATCCGCCATCAGCACCCGCTGCTCCAGCTCTTCCACCCACTGCAGGAGAGCCAGGTCTGCCTCGTAGGCCCGCTCTGTCGTGGACCACTGGGCCAAGGCTTCCTGAGACACGGGGTGGCCGGCATCCTGAGGCTGGAAGATGGGATCTGCACAGGAACATAAGAACGGCCAGACTGGGTCAGACCAAGGGCCCATCCAACCCAGCGTCCCATCCTCTGAGAGTGGCCAACGCCAGGTGCTCCACAGGGAATGAACTAAACAGGGAATCATCCAGCAATCCCCCCCCTTGTTGCCCATTCCCAGCTTCTGACAGATGGACCTCTCTCCTCCATGAATTTACCTAGTTCTTTTTGAACCCTGTTAAAGTCCTGGCCTTCTCAACATCCTCTGGCAAGGAGTTCCACAGGTTGACACTGCGCTGCATGAAGAAAAACTTCCTTCTGTTTGTTTTAAACCTGCTGCCTGTTCATTTCGTTGGGTGACCCCCTAGTTCTTATGTTACGGGAACAAGTCAATGACTTTTCCTGAGTCACTTTCTCCATACCGGTCGTGGTTTTATAGACTCTATCCTAGCCCCCGAGGCTCCGCTTTTCTAAGCTGAAAAGTCCCCGGCTTTTTAACCTCTCCTTCTACAGCTGCCGTTCCGAACCCCTCAGCCTTTTGCTGCCCTTTTCCGAGCCTTCACCAATGCCAAGAGATCTGGAGATGTGGGCACCCCGCTGCTTCTATTAAAAAAACCCATCAGCTATTATCGGTCTTATTCTTCATCCCAGCGGCCTGCCCCAAGCCCGGCTCCCCGCCGCCGGCCCACAGGCATCCTCACCGGCAGTGGTGCGGGCGCAGACCTCCCGCAGGTACTCCTTGTGCTTGGTGAGGTGCTTGTGCAGGGCTTTCTCGCGGATCCCCCGCGGGTGCAATGCGCGGGCCAAGGCCTCCAGCTCCTCCGGGTCCTTGAGCCACCACCAGCCGCTTCGCTTCTCTCCAAGGTACCGCTGTACCCTCCCCCCCCCGAGCCGAGTCACCACGTGGAGGGAAGGAGACCATCCCCAGCCTGGGGCGTGGCAGGGAACAGGAGACCCAGGAGTCCTGGTGGCCAGCCCACCCCAATCGCCTGTGGGCAAACGTGATCTCCTGCCCCGAGAGCCGGGGGGCGGACACACAAGAGGGAGACCCCCACCCCCTGGGCGGCAATGGCAGTGGGACCCAGGCTGCCCCAGGGGAGGCTGGCAGGCAGAGGGGGACTCACCTGGGGGTACAGGCTGCGCCGTTAGCTGGGTGAGGTACTTCTGCTCAATCTGCTTGAAGAACTTGGTGGGGGGCCGGCCCCGGCGCTTGGGCTGCCCCAGCGGCCCCTGGGTCTTGTCAGGTCCACCCCGGCTTCTGGGGCAGGCGCTGGGCACCCGGGGGCTGGCGTGGACGGGCGTGGAAGCGAGGGGAGGAGAGGTGGGGCCGTGCGGCTGGCAGGAGAGAGGCAGCGGGGGTGAGGGGTGCTGGCCACCCTCCTGGGGGCTCTGGGTCTTGGTGCCTTCCCATGGGCCTCATCTGTGCTCCTGCCCCCTTCCTCTACCCCACCTCTCGGATATGGGAAGATGGATCCCTTCCCACCCCCCAGCTCCAACTTCTAGACAGTCCCCCCCCAGTCCCTCTGGAGACTCCGATCCTGCCGCAGGGGGGGACGGGGGCTTCCCAGCCCTGCTTAGAGCGACCCCTACAGGGCAGCCTCGGTGCCAGCCATGCCTATGGGGTCAGCGAGACGGGTGCCATCTGACAGGGAACTGAACCCACACCCCACCCCAGAGGGGGCCTCGGGGTGGGGACGGGCCAAGGAGACTACATATCCCAGCATGCACTGTTCTGCTTTGCGCGGAATGATGGTGCAGGCCAGGGACACTACATATCCCAGCATGCTTTGGGCTGCCATGAGCCTAGGGAATGGTGCAGGCCAGGGACACTACATATCCCAGCTTGTGGGGGATGCTCAGTCAATACGCCCCAGAGGGGAACGCCCCATCTAACCTTAGAGGAGCAAACCCCTTGCCTCCCCTCTCCCTACCCCACGGCCCCGGCCCTGCCCGCTCTCACCTGCCTGCCCACGGCCTTGGGCTGGTCCCCAGGGCGAAGGCTGCAAGGCTGGGGGGCGGCTGTAGCCGGGGGCTCGTCTAAGGAGGTAGCCAAGGGGACGTCGTCGTCGTCAAGAGGGGAACGCCCCATCTAACCTTAGAGGAGCAAACCCCTTGCCTCCCCTCTCCCTACCCCACGGCCCCGGCCCTGCCCGCTCTCACCTGCCTGCCCACGGCCTTGGGCTGGTCCCCAGGGCGAAGGCTGCAAGGCTGGGGGGCGGCTGTAGCCGGGGGCTCGTCTAAGGAGGTAGCCAAGGGGACGTCGTCGTCGTCACAGGGTGTCCGGGGCAGCAGATTGAACCAGGGCCCCCGCGGCTCCGCCCTCTCGGGGAAGCTCTCCTCCAGGGCCGGGGGGCTCGGGGCCTCCTTGCCGGGGCTGGTGGC